GGGGCAGAAGTAATCTTGTGATTACTGGGAATGGTGCTGAGAAAAGAAAATCTCAAGAATACCTATTAGTTTTTATGGGTCTAATAAGGAATGATACTTATACAGTTTTGTAGGGATCTAAAACTTAATTTGAGGAATCCTAATATATTTATTTATTTCACTTGGAGAGGGCAGAGGTGTCCTGGGCCAGTTTTGGCCTAATCTTATTTTAGGTAAAGAAAGGATGTATTTTAAAGGGCCTTCTAAAGGTCAAGATTACTTTTGCCTAGAAAGAACTTCAGCCCACCCTCTATTGTGACCATGGAGATAAAGCATTGTAATTAATAGTAAGTGATTAGAGCAAAGGGGAGCGGGTCGGTCGGGGACTTCCCGGAAGATTTTATCATATACTCAGGATGTATAGGAGAGCTATGTAATTCTTTCATAGTAGTAAATTGGGGAGTCAGAGGGGGGTCGCTTTCCAGTGAGGCTGCCTCAATTCTCTGGAGCAAATAGCAAGCAGCCTTGCTGACATGCTAACTGACCCAAGCTTTGTTCCAAGGTCGGGGGGTGTATAACAGTAGCCTTGCCAACGTGTTGATCTGACTGGAAGCGGAGCTCAAAGGTTAGGGGGCTCAGACAGATCCTGGGGCCTTACCGGGTCGGACTCCTCCAGGAATCCAGCAATGTAACCATCATGCCATCTACTGGTCTCTGTACTCCAGTTTTTGTATCTGACAACCGTAGGCTGGCTTTCCCTGTGGGCCCATCCTCTCCATGTAAGTCCACATGTCCCTTTGGGGCCATCCTTGGCTTGCCACTCTTGGTCTTTCAGAAGATTTCTCGGACTCCTGTGACTCATAATCTCTAGCTTTAGTCCTTCCCCTCCTTTGTCTATCACATTCAGTCAGTGGTAGTCAACAGCTTCCGAGAATATTGATTCGAATGTTCATCAGGGACCTCACACTTCTAATCTTCTAAAATGGAACTTATGTTCTCCCTCCCCACTACATAAAGAGTTTTGGGGGACCAGCAGGTGGTGTGGTGGTTAAGGTGCTGGACACTCCCACATGGCCGACCACAGTTTGAGTTTCAGACCAGGTGGCTTGCTTTCTTACTGTCCCTCTGTGTGTGTGTGTGTCTGATCAAATTAAAATAAATTAATGAATAAATAAAATTAATAATTCTTTTAAAAAATAAAGAGTTTCAGGGCTGGCAAGTGGCCTGGTGGTTAAGGGCGCCGTACTCCCACATTGCAGACCACAGCTCAAGTCCCGGACCTGGTGGCTTGCTTTCTCACTTTCCCTCTCTTGATCTCTCTCTCTCTCTCTCTGTCTCACTCTGGTCAAATTAAAACAAATAAACAAAGTTACATAAAATAATTTTTAAAGAGAGAGTTCCACTTAATTGATGAGTGGCCTGTACCATTCCCTGACAGAGAAGTCCTCACTTTGGAAAAAGGCTTACCCTTGGGAACCAGCAGTTAGTGTAATGGCTATGTCGCTGGACTCCCACGTAGTCGACCACGGTTCGTGTCCCGGACCCGGTGGCTTAAAACTCACGCTGGGCGCGTGTGCGTGCGTGCCCAAGATCCCGAGAGGAGAATGGAGGAGAAGGGATTGCGGTGTGACCATCCCCCCTGGGGGGTGATTTCTCGCTTTCTGTCTCTATGTCTCTCTCTGTCTGTCTGGCGAGCGCACGCGCCCTACAGTGAAAATCTCTCCAAAAAAAAAAAAGTTAAAAAAAAAAAAAAAAGAAAAAGAAAAAGGCTTACCCTTTCCCTGCCTTTTCCCCTGTGTCTCCTTACACACTCCCCATCACGTCTCAGTTGTGCAGGGACCTGGCAAACCATTGCTTTCTCATGTTAGTAAGCGTCACAAAGAAATGCTTGTTTCTTGCTGAGCCTAGTGCAAAGCAAAAATGCAGGGTCTCTTATTCAAAAATTAAAAAGAATTTCACAGAAGTTTCAGGTCCCTTCTCAATCTGAGGAGATACAGACAGAAGGACAATACGTTGGTTATGCTCACTCCTCTTAAGAGAATTTTTGTGGAAAAGTAGAAAACATAAAACTGTATGAATTGTTTAGAAGTGGTTTGATGTAAGTGGGGAGACTGGAAGGGGGGCGAGTAGTTGGTAGAGAGTGGGTGCTGGAAAGTGGTGTGAGGCGCAAAGCAAGGAAACACTTGACAGAAAAATGTAAAATTCTCTATTAAAAATATATATGTGTACATCATGAAGGGGACTGCATGTAAATGTGAAAGTAGGGGCTGGCAGGTGGCATGGGGGTTAAGGGTGCTGGATTCCCACATGACCAACTGCAGTTCGAGTCCTGGACCTGGCAGCTTGCTTTCTCACTTTCTCTTTCTGTCCCTCTCTGGTCAAATTAAAATAAAATAAAATAAATAAAGCTAAATAAAGTAATTATTTAAAGAAATGTGTAATCTGAAAAAAGTTGTTCAATGAAAGTATTTTATGCATATGGACAAGGACTGGGAAGAAAAATGATAGTGGGGGGTGAAAGCTGGAGAGTGAAGGTATACTACTGAATTTTCCACACTATATATTTCTTTTTAAATAATTTTATTATTTTTATTTTTAGAATTTGATCAGAGAAAGACAGAGATGGGGGCGAGGGCATGAGAAACTAAGCTGCCAGATCCAGGACTCAAACCGCACTCTGTGATGTGGGAGTCCAGTGCCCCCACCACCAGGTCACCTGCTGGCGCCCCCAGATTATATCTATCTATCTTTCTTTTTTAAATAATTATTTAATTTTATTTATTCATTCATTTATTTTAATTTGGCCAGAGAGAGACACAGAGAGAGAGAGAGAGAGAGAAAAAAAAAAGTGAGAAAGCAAGCCACCAGGTTTGGGACTCCAACTGTGGTCGGCCATGTGGGAGTGTCCAGTGCCTTAACCACCCTGCCACCTGCTGGTCCCCAGACTATATATTTTTAAAACTTTGCCAGAGGGCATGTGCGCTAGCTAGAGACAGAGGAAGAGGGGAAATGAGAAAACAACCAACAACCCAATCTGCCTGAGGGATGGTTGCAGTAATCCCTTCTCCTCCATCTCTCTCCCCTTTCCGGATATTGGAGCACAGACACACGTGCTTTGCTTGCTTTTTACAAGAGCTGCTATAAACTCCCCCCCCACACACACACACACTAAGGCTAGTCCCAGACATTTCTTTTTTTCTTCTTCTTTTGGAGAGGTTTTCGCTATTGGGCACCTCCGCTCGCCAGAAAGACAGAGAGACGGAGACAGAATGCGAGAAATCACCCCCAGAGGGGATGGCCACGCCACAGTCCTTTCCCCTCCATTCTCCTCTCGGGATCTTGGGCACACACGCACACGCGCCGGGCGAGTTTCAGCCACTGGGTCAGGGACTTGAACTGCTGGTCGACTACATGGGAGTTCAGCGACGTAGCCATTATGCTATCTGCTGATCCCTCAAATAGTATACTTCAATGTCCGCCGTGGATACAGATGCAGAGGAAGCCACCCTAAGTGGGGCTGGAGGAACCGCGCGGCCAACTCTCGCTTCACCAGTGTCTGGGCGGAGTTGGGGCAGGCGTGGCGGGGCGTGTGATTGAGGCTGCCTCGGCCTCAAGGGAGCCCACTCCTTCAGGAGCCGGAACCTTCGCAACGCGTTTCGACATTTTCCACACGGCTATAAAAGGCAGGTCCCGGCTCTTCCGGAAGTTGCTGCACAGTCGTTTCCGGGGCGGTGTGAGGAGGAGCAGAACTCCGAATGGGTCGCAGCCGTAGCCGCACCCCACGAAGGGGTGAGTCCAGAAGCATTTCCGAAGGCCTGGGGCTCGGTCGGAGGCGCGTCCCCATTTTTTCAGTGGCCGGGAAGCGGGGAGGCGGGCCCTTGTCTCCCACGGAGAATTGGGCCGAGTGGGTAACGACCTGGGCCCTACGCTTTTCAGTCCGTGCCCTCTGCTTTGAAGGCGGCTATTTTGTTTCTGTCTTTACATTTCCCTCTCTGAATTCGAGTTTAGCCCACTCTCTGACAGCCTCACACAATACCTTTACTTGTACGGTGGGTTTATAATTAGGCCGCAGTTCTCGCTCTTGACTTTTGGGTGGCCGTGGGCAACTTAATCTTTCTGCATCGGATTCCTGTAGTCAGTCATTGGGATTAATAGAACCTACTTTAAAAATAGATATGAGAGTGTCACATTCCATACCATTCAGTTTGGAATTCGGCCTGGTCTTCGATGCGCAATACATATTAGTTCCTAAAGAAATGGATTATTTAGAATCTTGAGTCCAGGGAGTTCACTGCCATGTCTCAGCCCCACCTCCCAGCCCCATAGATGAGGCAGGCAGTGCAGTAGGAAGAAGCCCAGGATTTCATCTCACTTAGACCCTCGGCCTGCCTCTAGTTAGTTTTGCTCACTTTCAACTGGTCAAGATTCGGTTTTCTTAAAAGGAATGGTGGCGGGACCATCAGATGGCGAAATGGTTAGGTCACTGGACTCCCATGTAGTGGTTCGAGTCCCGGACCCAGTGGCTTAAACCTCACGCCAAGTGTGTGCGTGTGCGTGCCCAAGATCCCAAGGGGAGAATAGAGGAGAAGGGATCATGGCCTGGCCTTCCCCCACGCCCCGGGGAGGGGTGATTTCTCGTTTTTATTTATTTATTTATTTTTCCCCTCTTGTCTCTGTCTCTCTCCAGGGAGCACATCTGCCCAATAGCAAAAACCTCTCTTTTTTTGGGGGGGGGGAGAGGTTTTTGCTATGTGTGCTCGCCAGACAGACAGAGAGAGACAGAGAGACAGAAAGCGAGAAATCACCCCCCAGGGGGGATGGTCACACCGCAATCTCTTCTCCTCCATTCTCCTCTCGGGATCTTGGGAACGCACACACACCCGCCCGGCGTGAGTTTTAATCCACCAGGTCCGGTACGCGAACCGCGGTCAACTACGTGGGAATCCAGCGACATAGCCATTATGCCAACTGCTGGTTCCCCAAAAACCTCTCTTAAAAAAAAAAAGTTAATGGTGGCTTCCAGGTACCTGTGGCTACTCAGTACTGGAAATGCAGCTAATCCAGGCAGTCCTATACACAGGATTTCCTACCCAAAAAAGGATGTAAAATATTTACTTTTTATGTTGCTTGTATGTAAAAATGATAATAGATTATATGATGAAATGATAATAGTTTGGATATAGCAGGTCAAAAAACACCTCATAAAAATTAATCTTGCTTTTTGTTGTTGTTGAGATTTTTGCCCTAGGGTATGTGTGCTCACTGAGACAGAGACAGGAAGAGTGAGAAATCACCCTCCAGGGGGAATGGCCATGCTGCATTCCCTTCTCTTCCATTCTCTTTTCCAGATTTTGGGCTTTTACGGGCACCTGGCCTAATTTTAAAGCCGTAGAGCCTGGTGCTTGAGCCATTACTGGCCCTGTGGGATCCAGCCACCTTAAATTCCATGCCACCTGCTGGCTCCTCAATTTCACTTTTTTTTTTTTTTTTTAAGAAGTTTTTGCCTTAGGGTGTGTGCGCTCCCTGTAGAGAGACAGAAAGAGACAGAGACAGTGAGAGGGAAAATGAGAAATCACACCCCAGAGGGGGTGACCACGCAGCGATCTCTTCTCCTTTTTCGACCTGGGATCTTGGGCACACCTGCTCAGGCTGGGATGATTTTGAAACCACCAGGTCTGGGACTCAAACCGCGATTGGCGTGTGGAAGTCCAGTGACATAATCGCTCTGCCATTGGGTCCCAGCCAATTTTACCTTTTTAATGTGACGATTTTTACCTTTTTAATGCAACTACTTAAAGTGGTTGGGTTTTACTTCTTTTGGGCAGTGTAGGCCTAGATATGAGGTAACTTTCACCCTGGTGGTTTTTGTTTGCATTAGAACGTAGGCGGTCCCGGTCTACATCCCGTGAGAGAGAACGCAGGCGCCGAGAAAGGTCCCGGTCCCGGGAAAGAGATCGGAGAAGAAGCAGGTCGAGATCCCCGCACAGAAGGCGCTCCAGGTAAGAAAATAAGTCAGAAGCTGTACCATAAGTTGCAGAGAAACCAGTAGCCTTCTTAACTTTGTAGTATTTAGCAGTTATAAAGGAATTTACAGTTTCATGAAATGAGGGAAACTTAATCCCCCCCTTTTTTTGAGGGATTTTTGCTATAGGGTGCTGTGCTTGCCTGAGAGACAGAGAGACAGAAAGCAAGAAATCATTCCCTGCAGGGTGATGGCCACTTGTCGGCATGAGTTTTGAGCTACTGGGTTTGGGACTTGAACCATGGTCACAGTGGGAGTCTAGCAATGTAACCATTATGCCATCAACTGGTCTCAATCCCCCTTTATTCTAAAGCTACCATTTCCCTTTGTAAGACTGAGTCAGTTACAGTCTGCATTATAGACTTGTCTTGAGAAGTAAATGACAAATAATACACGAAAACCATTCAGCATGGTGTTCGGCAAGATTAAGTAATAAGTATTTTACTTCTTTTTTTAAAATTTTTTGGTGCTCATGTTTTATTCACATATAATCAAGGGTAGGAGATTTGTATGTATACACAAAGGAATACTATCCAGCCATTAAAAAGCCATCCATTCGATGTTAAATGGATGAACCTGGAGGATATTATGTTTAGTGAATAAGCCAGGAACAGTTATAGAAGTGTTCTCCCTTGTATGTACAAATTGAAAAAAAATAAGGGCTTCGTACAGGAAGAGGGATGAAGAATGGCTACGACTAGAGCCAGCCAGTGGCTTGGAGATTGAGGTGGCTTGGTCCCACATGGCTAGCTGCACAGTTTAAGTTCTGGACTCAGCAACTTTAAAAACATGCTGGATACATGTGTGCATATGCCCAAAATCTTGAGAGGGGAGTGGAGTAGAAGGGATTGCCATTCCCTCTAGAGGGCAATTTCTCTCACTCTTTCTCTTTCTGTCTTCCATCGTGTCTGGCAGCACATAAGCCTATAGCAAATTATAAAAAATAAAGGGGGGAAGGGATCAGCAGGTGGCATGGTGATTGGGGTGCTGGACTCCCACATAGCCCACTGAGGTTGGAGTCCTGGACCTGGCAGCTCACTTTCTCACTTTATTTCTCTCTCTTTTTTCTCTCTTTGGTGAGAGTACATGCCCTGTGCAAATTAAAAATAAAAATACAAAATAAGTAAATAAAATAAAATTTTAAAAAAGGACTACTAGAAGATGGGAAGGTTGAGGAAATAGAACAGGTTATTGGTTAATGGAAATAAAATCGTAGATAAATGGGAGGAACAAGGCCTGGTGTTATGAAATACAGGGGGAGAGTATAGATGACAACACCTTGCTGTGGTTCTCAAAGTAACACAAAGGGAGGATTCTGATTGTTCCTAACACAGTACCAAATGATTGAGACAGCGGGTATGTTAATTGTCCTAATCAAATATTACACAGTGTATGTTTGTACTGTAAAATCACATGGTACCTCTACAAATACGTGTAATTATGCTATGTTAAATAAAAACATTTAAAAGAAAGACGCAGAGCCAAGTAAGAAGGTGCAGTGCCTCAGGAGCTGGGTCCCACATGGCCGACTACAGTTCAGATCCTGAACACGGGTGTATGCAAACATCCTGACGGCATGGAGAAACGGAAGGAGGGTTGAGGTGTGGCCACATCCCGTTGGGTTAGAGGGTGCTTTCCCTCTTTCTGTCCCTTTCTGGCAAGCACACACATGCTCTCTGCCAATTAAAGAAGAAACTTAAACATTTTTTTAAAGTTGTAAAATAAGAGGGGGGAATCTTAAAAGACTCTTAAAAGAGTATTCTGATTCTTAAAAAGTTTCAGTTGCCAGTGTTTGTAATTGTTAGAAACTTTCAAGTTATATTTTTGTGGCTCACAAAAATCTTTCTAGCCTTAGCTATATAGAGTGCAAAATCATGATTAAGCATTAATTAAACAATAAACCATGTTTTTGTTTTGTTTTGCTAACAATCAAGGTCTAGGCAAAACGTTTTTCCTTGGTTGTGCTATAGGGAATGGATTCCTGGTTCTCTGGAGTCTGGTTTCTGTTTGGTCACACTGTTCAAGAACTTGTGTATCTGTGCTAATCAATATAAAGTTCCCATATGTGTCTGTTCCTAACATCTCTACTTACGAATATTAGATCTCCTAGACGACATAGATCTACATCTCCTTCCCCTTCTCGCCTGAAAGAAAGAAGAGATGAAGAAAAGAAAGAAACAAAAGAAACAAAGAGCAAAGAACGTCAGATTACTGGTAATGTTATTAGATAAATAGCTGGAGGAAAAGTATATAGCCTTGATTAATAACTTTAGTCATGCTAAAATTATAATTTTGGAACATTTACGTATTAAGATATTTTATAGTGTTCATTGCATATGATTTTGAGGTTTTTTATTATTTATTTTATTTTATTTGTTATTATTTATTTTTAAAATTTGACCAGAGAGACAGAGGGAGAGAGAAAGGGAAAATGAGAAAGCAAGCCGCCAGGTCCAGGACTCGAACTGTGGTTGGTCATGTGGGAGTTCAGCACCTTAACCACCCATGCCACCTGCTGGTCCCTGATTTTGAGATTTTTGTCTTAATTGTACCTTAATGAATTTCTGTCTATCTAATTTTGTTATTGAACTCAAACCAAGTTTGCTTCCCAAAGGGCTACAAACCAAACCACAGGTGTGATGAAGGAAAACACAGCTTTATTGCTATGTGCAAAGCAAGTAGAGTAGGCAGCTCAGGCTGACAAGGCCTATTCTCCTCAAGGAGTTCCCCACATGCGTTTTCTTTTTCTTTTAAATTTTATTTATTCATTCATTTTAATTTGACCAGAGAGAGAGAGAGAGGGAAAGTGAGAAAGCAAGCCACCAGGTCCAGGACTCAAACCATGGTCGGCCATGTAGGAGTGTCCAGCACCTTAACCACCCTACCACCTGTTGGTCTCCCCCCCCAATGCATTTTCAAGGGCAAAATTAAGAGCAGAAGTCCTAGGCACATGATCAGTTCAATTGATTAGTTCAAGGGGGCATGATCATCTCTTGGGCTTTCTTGATTGACAGGGCCTTAGGTCAAACTTCTATTTTAGGACAGGACAAAACCATCAGATTTCTGGCACCATTCAGCCTATGGTCTAAGTGCTCATAGCCAGCAGTTTCCATCCTACAAGAACCTAACAAATTAAGTTAAAACTTTTATTTTTCCTTTAAATGGGAGTTTTAGAAATCTTATGTCCCTAATTCATGACCAATAAATACTTAATGACCAAAATCAAAGTCTGAAATCCTGCCTTTACTTTGGGCCATTAACGTGTAAAGGAATCTGGGCCAACAGGTGGCATAACGGTTAAGGCACTGGACTCCTACATGGCCTACTGCATTCAAGTCCAGGACCCTGTAGCTTAAAAATTAAGTCAAGTGTATGTACATGTCCAAAAATACCAAGAGGAGAATAGAAGAGAAGGGATTACGGTGTGGTCATCCCCCCGCTTGGGGATGATTTCTCACTTTCCCCCTCGCCATCTCTTTCTGTCTCTCTGGCAAGCACATATGTCCTATGCCAAAAACCTTTAAAAAAAAATGTAAAGGAAAGCCTACAAGGCTCTTCACTTTTAGCTCACCCTTACTAATTTTCAGTTTGGGAAATTTCCATTTTTTCCCCCAAAAAAGGGGGAAACTTGAAGGCCCAGCCCATTTTAGGGGATCTCTGCTTGGTTTCAACATGGTATACCTGGTAATAGGTAGGCAGGAAAGGATATTTTTGTTCTTCTTTTTATTATTATCATTTTATACATTCAGTCACTATACATCATTTAACTTGTAAAAAGAATTTACCCAACATGAAATACACCTCCGACAAGTCCAGTTTAGAATGTCATACACAGGTAAGGTAGGTTAAAACACATGGGGCCAGCAGGTGGCGTGGTGGTTAAGCGTGCTGGATTCCTACATGGCTGACCGTGGTTTCAGTCCGGGACCTGGAGACTTGTGTTCTCGCTTTCCCCCTCTCTCTGTCTGTCTCTGGTCAAATTAAAAATAATAATAACAACAAATGGAATTAAATAAATAATTATTAGAGTAAAAATTAAAAACAACAACACAAGAATATTATATTTTGGAAGTAACTTTAAACCTAGACAGTGTCACATCTGATACAAAGGTGGTGTGCCTGAAGGCTCCAAGGAAAGCACATTCCTTTCTTGCACCCTGAATTACATCTTGTCCAGAGTTAAGAGGAATTTTTTTCATTAGACTCCTCTTTAAGTAATTGTTTTATGTGTTCTCTGCTAGTGAACTGGGATTACTATTAATCTATTGTCAACACACACAGAGAAAATATGGAATTTCAGAAATTATTGTTTGCTTTTGCAGAGGAAGACTTAGAGGGCAAAACAGAGGAAGAAATAGAAATGATGAAGTTAATGGGATTTGCCTCCTTTGATTCCACAAAAGTAAGTAAAACATGAAGCAGTTAAACGTTTTGCTTTGAGGGCCAGACGGTGGCACAGCCATAACACAACTGTATCCACATGGGAAAGGCCCTGGGTTTGCCTCCTGGGACCTTCTTGAGCATGCTGGCACAGATATGGGTCTTCTCATGCATACCCAGCATGCCCAGGGGGGTCATAGAGGTGTAGGGGTAGGTGGTGCCATGAAAGCCTTGTTGGGGATACCTACTTCTTTCTCTATCTCTCTCTCTTTTCCCCTCCCTCTCCCATGGGTGAAATAAAGAAATAAATATTAAATAAAAAAACTCCTTTACCAGGAAAACCTTCTAATTGGAATTAGTCTGTTAGGACTCTCCTGTTTTTCTGTATTCTTTTGGTATCATTTGTAATTTCTTCCATTGACACAAATTAAGACAATAACTGGGGACCAGCAGGTGGCGTGGTGGTTAAAGTGCTAGACTCCCACATGGCTGACCATGGTCTGAGTCCTAGACCTGGCAGCTTGCTTTCTCCCTCTCCCACTCTCTTTCGCTGGTAAAATTGAAGAATAATAATACATAAATAAAATTAAATAAATAAATCTTAAACAAACAAAAAAAAGACAATAACTGTTTGAAGGACTTTGTGAGCACATAGGGAAGAAGCAATGTATAGCCTTTGGATCTCCAGAAGTGCTTGCTGGGAATAGTGAGTTAGCTCTCAAAGGGCAGGTACCGAAGAGCAGACAGAGAAGAGCAGGGAGATCGTTTAAAGTAGAGAAGAGCGTGCAAGAATGTACATAGACGTGAAGGAGCACCATGTGTGGTGAGGCTCTGCAACTCAGTGACTGGTGCAAGGTGCTGCAGGGCCATGCCTGACACTAGGTATGAAGATGGGGGTCAGATCCACAAGACTTTTGATGCCCTTAGCCATGCTAAGGAGTTTTAGAGTTGATTTTTTAGATTTTGAAGAGAGGAAGCCCTGATTTTTAAGCAAGAGAGTTTCACGACTATATGTGTATCTTACAAGAATGACTCTGGAGGCAGCACAGCAGACAGATGGCAGGTGGGTTAGATAGGAGGCAGGGAAAACTGCTGAGTTGAACAAGAGAAAGAGGAGGAAGTCTTGAACCGAGTTGAAAACCACTCAGGAGCCAGAGCGAGTGGGTGTGAGTCTACAGTGATGCCTCTGAGGTGTTGACTTGGGAGCCTAGGTGATAGATTTAGCCTGGAGCAGGAGGTGGGGGATGTGTTACAGGAAGGGGAATGTCTGAGAAATGGAAGAACATCTCAGATGGAGAGTGAATCCCCCTCACCTTCATCATAATACCTATGAGATAAGGAGGCAGGAGGACAAAGAGGAAGGGCTTGGAGGAAGGGAAGAGGGAAAGGAGAGAGAGCGAGGGCACCAGAGAAATAGAGTAGGGAGTGGGGAGACAGGTGTAGAGAGAAGAAAGAGAAAGAGGGGATGGAGAGAAGAAAAGGGTGTATGGAAAGAATATTTTTTAAAGTATTTTTTCCTAGAAGTTTAAGTCTTTCCTTTTCATTTTGCAAATGAAAATTTATATTTTTTGAGAAAAAATGTCAAAAATAATCTAATTCCTGGGACCAGCACTTAGCATAGTGGCTATGTCTCTGGACTCCCATGTAGTCAACCGCAGTTCAAGTCTCGGACACGGTAGCTTAAACTGACATTGGGCGCCTGTGTGTGCATGCCCAAGATCCCAAGAGAAGAATGGTGGAGAAGGGATTGTGGCATGGCCATCCCCCCTGGGGTGTGATTTCTTGCTTTCTGTCTCTCTGTCTTTCTGGCGAGCACATGCACCAGCAAAAAACACCTCTCAAAAAAAAGAAATTTAATTCCTCTAATCTTGTATGCCATTGAGTTTAATGGAGTGAGTAATCTCACATGCTATAAGAGCTTCTTTCTAACATGTGATTGCATTGTGTTTTTAAATGATAGTATGTGACTTAAGAGGAGTACTAAGGAGAGAAAATTAAGAATGAGCTCTGGGACCAGCAGATGATTTAATGGTTACATCACTGGACTCCCACTTAGCCAATGGTGGTTGTAGTCCTGGACCCACTGGCTTAAAACTCACGCTGGGAGCATGTGTGTGCATGTCCAAAATCACAAGAGGAGAATAGAGGAGAAGGGATTGCGACGTGGCCATCCCCTCTTGGGGGGGTGATTTCTCACTTTCTGTCTCTCTGTCTCTGTCTCTCTAGCGAGCATTCATGTCCTGTAGCAAAAATCTCTCTTAAAAGAAGAGAACGAGCTCTTATTCTTGTGGTGGTTTTGTGAACCCCATCTTGGAATATAATGTAGTAATGTAATCAGCTTTTTTCCTTGCAATACATCAGATCTTTTTTGTTTTGTTTTGTTTTTCCAAAGAGTACTTTATAAGTGAAATAATTTATTAATATGTATGTTGAATGGATAAAAATATCTCCAAAGTAGGACTAAAAGGTGGCATGGGGTTAAGGCCTTGGATCCCACATGGCCGGTTTTATGGTTCAAGTCCTGGTTCAAGCCCAGACCTGGTAGCTTGGAAAATATGCCAGGTACATGTGAGTGTGTGCCCAAAATCCCAAGAAGAGAATGGAAGGGAAGGAATTGCAGCATGGCCATCCTCCCCCTGAGGATGATTAATCACTTCCCTTCTCTCTCTGCCTCTCTGTCTCCTGTGAATGCACACTCTCTATGGCAAAAAAATTAAAAAAAAAAAAAAAAAGAAAAGAAAAAGAAACTCCAAAATAAAGCAGCTATAATTTTATCGTTTTTAGAGGTGGACTGTATTGGAATTATATTGTTTATTTGTTTTTTGGTTTTATTATTGCCCAATGTTATGTTAGAAGTTCCTGAGAGTCAGATGTAAAGATAGACTGAGGGCTGGAAAATGAGAGTAGGACTGAGATAGCATATTGAGGTACGGAGTTGAGAGAGGCTCTCCAAAACGGCAGTCTGAGCTCATCTGGTAAAGGGACTCTACTTGCCAGCAGCCTTGCTGTTAGTGCAAAGTAAAAGTCCTGCTGGGAATTGTATTTGCTACTCGGTGTGCTGCCTAAGTGTGCCACCATGGCAAAAAAGGTAGATTTTTCACAAAAACGCCCATCCACAAGAATTATAAAAGGAAGTTTAAAAAATAAAGAGGGACCAGCAGATGGCATAATGGTTACATTGCTGGACTCCTACATTGTCGACCATGGTTCGAGTCCCAGACTCTCTAGCTTAAAACTCAATGCCGGCCGCATATGCATGCATGCCCAAAATCCCAAGAAGAGAGTGGAGGAGAAGGGACTGTGGCATTAGCATCCCCTCTTAAGGGTGATTTTTCACTTTCTGTCTTGCTGTCTCTGTCTTTCTCTCTCGGGCAAGTGCACACCCCCTATAGCAAAAAATCTCTTTCTAAAAAAAACTTTTTTTTAAGGTGTTTTTTGCTATAGGGGGTGTGCACTTGCCCGAGAGAGAAAGACAGAGACAGCAAGACAGAAAGTGAAAAATCACCCTTAAGAGGGGATGCTAATGCCACAGTCCCTTCTCCTCCACTCTCTTCTTGGGATTTTGGGCATGCATGCACACACACGCAGCATGAATTTAAGCCACTGAGTCTGGAACCTGAACTGTGGTCGACTACATGGGAGTCCAGCGACATAGCCATTACGCCAACTGCTGGTCCCAGAAATAAAAAAAAAATTTAATTAAAAATATCTACATTTGGGGCTGGCAGGTGGTATGGTGGTTACGGCCGCTGGACTCCCACATAGCCGACTATGGTTTGAATCCTGGACCTGGTGGTTTGCTTTCTCACTTTCCCTCTCTTTCTCACTCTGTCCCCCTGATCAAATTTAAAAAAACATATGAATAAATAAAGCTAAATAAAATAATTTTTGAAAATCCACATTTTATAGATTTTTTAAAAAGAATTACTTTATTCAACTCTATTTATTTATTTAAATTTGACCAGAAAGGGACAGAGTATGATAGAGAGAGGGGCAGGGGGAAAGTGAGAAAACAAACCATCGAGTCCGGGGCTCAAACCGCAGTCAGCCATGTGGGAGTCCAGCGCCCCCAACCACCACACCACCTGCCAGCCCCCATTTTATAGATTTTAAACTTGTCGTCAGCATTTAGGTCAGCAGTCTCACCATCTTCAAAAAACGGCACCCCTGCTAAACCCATCAGCTGTAAGAAGTATCAAGCAGAGAGAAGACAGCCTTTGCTAGCTCATGGCAGTCCTTTTCTCATTCTCTAGTCGGTCAGGGCTGAAAGCAAGGTGAAGCTCGAGTAGGGTGGGGGACACAGGGCTGATTCTCCTCAGTACAACATGTCATCTGAAGCTTGATGGGAAAACAGAAGAGGTAGGACTTGAGGTCCAGGCCCTATATTTAGTCAGTCTCTGCTAGGGGAGGAGGAATGCTTACTATATTTGAGGTGTTTGTGCTTCTGGTATGAGCCTTCTTCATTTTCTTCCACATCTTTTCGCCTGTCTTCATTCCTGGTCCTACCATGCCAGGAGCCCAGGGATTCACAGGACGCATGCCAGGCAGTTGGTGGGTAGGAAAGGGAGAGTAGAGATCCGAGTGTGGGCATCTGGGATACATAGACTGTGGCAGCGGATGGGGGGCACACTGGGAAGCTCCTGAGGTAGTGGAAGAGGATTCGTTGGAAAGTCTGGGTTAGTGGGTAGGCAGGCTTGGAACCACCAGGGTACCTGAAGATGGACGGATATGGATTTAGGTTTCGTTCTCTGACATTGGAATTCCACATGCTCAGGTATTTCTCCCAGCCTTTCCACAACTGCCTGGGCTTGATTTGTCCTTCTTCCCACCCTTCATTTTAAAATGTAGTTATTGCTGAGAATGTTTGTTTTTAAAGGAAAAATTAGGTAAAAATGTGTAGATCATATAAAAATTAGAAAGTACCTTGAGACGAAATGCCTGTTAGTTTTTAATGACATCTACAAGGATATATTTAGTTCATATGCAGTTGGCTTCATGGCTATCAGTTATAATGTCTCTCAGCACATTTGTGTTTTTTAGTAATGTGTATCTTGTGATAGTTCTTCATTGACCTATGATAGGACATTGTATATATACCAATGTAAGTTACTTATTTTCTCTTTTATTTTAACATTCTTCTTGGAAGTTTCAAAAAGTATGGTTATATTTGTTAATAGTTTTCTATTCCAACATGTAAATAAATGAAAATAGGCCTAAAAATATGCAACCCTGAAATAGTTTCCAAAAATTAGTAAGCCTTTAAGAACTCAGCTGAGTGGGGCTGGCAGGTGGAGTGGTGGTTAAAGGCGCTGCACTCCCACATGGCCAACTGTGGTTCAAGTCCTAGACCTGTCAGCTTCCTTTCTCATTTTCCATTTTTCTCTCTCTCACTCTGTCCGTCTCTGGTCAAATCAAAATAAATAAATAAATAAAGTTAAGTAAAATAATCCTAAATTTAAAAAAAAAATTCAACTGAGTAAAAATGTCAGGAGACAGCTTGAAAAACACACCAGATTTGTGCTCAAAATATCAACAAGATGGAGAAATGGAGAAGTGATTACAGTGTGACCACTCCCATTTTGCGGGGTGGCTTTACCCTCTCTGTCTCTCTTTCAAGTGCACATGCCCTCTGGCAAGTTAAAAAAATTAGGTGAGCATTATTTACTTTTTCCCTAGGTTAATTGTTCCAAGTCATGTATACCCCTATTCTTAAGAGGACAAAATTTTATACCTCAAGTAATTTGTTCCATGTCCCTAACCTCCAGATAAACAAAAACAGAAGAGTCCAGATATATTTATTTTAGCTACACTTTAAATTTGTTTCCTTTTTTCTTTTTATTTAAGATAGACTGTGTGCATATGTGAGAGAGGAACACTCTTCACAAGGTTTGGTCACACCACAGTCCCATTCTTCCAGTCCTCCAGCCCATCTGATCCTGGGCACTTGCATGTGCCTGGCGTTTTTCAGGCTCACAGGGCTGGGGATTTAAACTGCAGTTGCCAAGAGGGTCCATCTTTTCTTGAGCAGCATATTACCAGCCCACCACTTTAAATAGATAGCTCACTTGTGTATACCTTTAGGCCAGTGGATCAGAATCCTTTCTTTGCCCTAACACAGGTATCTAATAAGTAAGCCAGACAGATAGGCTTATACTCACACGAGTTGTAATTGGGCTGGGCTGGGGGTTCGTGTGTATGTGGGAGTGTGCGTGCGTGCGTGTGTGTGTGTGTGTAATGGCAGTAGTCCATGGTGTTCATTTAATAGTCATTTTCTAAACACCTGAGAGTGCAGTGGCATTCTCACAGGATGCGAGAGTGCAGCGGAGACTTTCTCAGATATATCCCTCTATCTGGAAGTTTGCAGCCTCATAGGAGAAGTAACATCATGATGCATATCACAGTAATAGAAGGTAGAAAATGGAAGGTACTGTTAAGAAAGTACCCTGAACATTCTTCAGGAATTAGGGAAGAGGGTACCTCCTGGCAGCTTAATGATTCCCATGGGACCTTGAATGATTGATCAGGACCAATAGTTGAAGACTGCATGAGAGCAATTCAGGCATGAGGGATACCATGGGGGCGAGTGAGTGTGGTGAGTTTGCTTGGCTGGATCAAAAGACTCTTAAAGGAATTCGTGAAAAAGAAGGTAGCTATTACAGTTAAAAAAACCAAAATGTGAGTGACACCAAACAATCTAACATTATCATCTGTTTTCTGTATTCCAATTCTTGATTTAAAAATCAAAATTATAAGGCCAGAGTAAAAAATGAGATTTAGCTGCATGGCTTCAGCCATAATTTGTGAATATTATAGCTTTAGGTTGTAAATTACGTTTTTGTCTAAATGTAGCTTTTTCAAGAGATGATAGCTATCATTTTTATTAGATTTCAAAGGATCCTTTTAATAAAAAAGATCAGGATCTCCTGCTGTAATTCCTGGTATAATATACCGTGAATGTTGGTTGGTTTGAGTATTGTGTTAATTGCTTATGTATAATCATGAAAATGTGAGTAGAAAATTGTAGCACTTGGGAATCCATTGTATATCATCAGGATCTGAAAATCTCCCCTTCAGCAGCAGGCTTTCTCTTAAATGTATCTTGCTATTTAAGCATGTCTGCGGGACTCAACTCTTTGATCCAGGCATTTAATGTGTTCTTCCTGTATTTTGTCTGCAGGGGAAGAAGGTAGATGGCTCTGTAAATGCCTATGCCATAAATGTATCTCAGAAGAGGAAGTACAGGTATGCGTAGCCTCCATTTTTATGTTTGAACCAATGAAACCATACTTAGAAAAAAATGTTATTATGGAACAATCATGTTCGTAGGAAATGTAGCAATTTTCTGTACTGTCCCGTATTTATATTTGGTGTGTTAAAATCATTTTCCTGTTTACATGTATGCTAATAGCTGTTAGAAAAATTGTAGTTGACATAAATGTTTTAGGGTTATAGATAGTAATTTCCTCAGAAAAGCATAATCTCAAGTGTTTGGACTTTGGTTTCATTGTCATTATAAGGTGTTTTTTGGGGGGGGGAGGGGAGAGGTTTTTGCTATAGGTCACATTCACGCACCAGACAGAGACAGAGAGATAGGAAGCGAGAAATCACCTCCCGGGGGGATGGCCACGCCGCAATCCCTTCTCCTCCATTCTCCTCTCGGGATCTTGGGCACGCATGCACACATGCCCGGCGTGAGTTTTAAGCCACCGGGTCCGGGACGCGAACCGTAGTCGACTACGTGGAAGTCTGGCAACATAGCCATTATGCTAACTGCTGGTCCCCTGTAATTATAAGTTTAAAATAGGGGCTCTCCCAAGATGGCAGCTCCTCCAAGCGAGTACTTCAGTGTTGGGAGCCAGATGTGCCAGGATCAGCAGCTGCAGGGCGAGGTGGTAGTCTGTGACTACCAGTCCAGAATGCTGGCTTTAAAATGTCCCTCTTCCGGTGGAAAACTCAAACATGCAGACATCTTGCTCATAAATACAATATGTTTCAGAAGGGGAAATAATTCATGACCAAACAGAAACCCCTTATCCTCTAGCTTCACTCAATGTTAGTAAGCTTGCCAGCAAAGCCTGGACAGAGAAGGAGAAGCTGAGCCAGGCCTAAACAATCAGTGCTGGAGTCTCCCTAGAAGGTCAGCAGTTCTTCCAAACCATCCACAAGAACATTAAAGATTGTAAATGGTGGGACCAGCAGTTGGCGTAATGGCTATGTCGCTGGACTCCCATGTAGTCCACCGTGGTTTGAGTCTTGGACCCGGTGGCTTAAAACTGTGCACATGTGTGTGCATGCTCAAGATCACAAGAGAAGAATGGAAGAGAAGGGATCACAGCATGACCATCCCCCTGGGGGGGTGATTTCTCACTTTCTGTCTCTCTGGCGAGCACATGCACCCTATAGCAAAAACCTCCCCCCACCCATAAAAAAAGACTAAATGACAAGAAAAAACACTGTAGTCACGGAAGAAGTTATCATTACACCCTCATATCAAGTGGAAAACTATAAAGGCAAAGAGGGGAGTGCACTGAGCCATGTATGCAAAAAAGTTGAAAAACATTTTTGAGATGTGGAAAGCCAAAGATACTGCAACATACACAAGCCCAGTAACCACAGAGGGAGGCTGCCCTCTCATCCTGAGTCTACACACCAGAGGACTCTTCCAAACATCAGCCAACGAGGCGGCGGTGGTGGTTGCTTCACCGGAGGCAGGCAGTGGGAGGGAAGGGATTCTATATTTCCTGCTGGTTCCTGTTAACAAAGGGTTAGTATTTCCAAATCTTAGACTTGAACAAACAAAACACCCAACCAAAGAACAAAAGAATAAAAATAAATAAATAAAGCAAAATAGGTCTCTCCTGGGGGCCAGCTGGTGGCATGGTGGTTAAAGGCACCGAATTCCCACATAGTCAACTGTGGTTCAAGTCCTGGACCTGGTGGCTTGCTTTCTCACTTTCCCTCTCTCTCTCTCTGGTCAAATTTAAAAAATAATAATAATAAAAAAAAGGAGACCAGCAGGTGGCATAGTGGTGAAGGGCTCTGGACTCTCACATGACTAACCAAGGTTCGAGTCCCAGACCTGGCAGCTTGCTTTCTCACTTTCTCTCTTGCTCTCACTCTGTCCCTCTCTAGTCAAATTAAAATAAAGTTAAATAAAATAATTCTTTTTAAAAATAACAAATAGAATTAAATAAGTTATTCTTAAAAAAAAAAAGTCCCACCTGAACTATTTTTTTACCCAGATTGATTGTATAAGGATTTCAATGAAAAATATATTCTGTTAGGGAACCAGCAGTTAGCGTAATGGCTATGTCGCTGGACTCCCACGTAGTCGACCGCGGTTCACGTCCCGGACCCGGTGGCTTAAAACTCACGCCGGGCGCGTGTGCCCAAGATCCCGAGAGGAGAATGGAGGAGAAGGGATTGCGGCGTGACCATCCCCCCTGGGGGGTGATTTCTCGCTTTCTGTCTCTATGTCTCTCTCTGTCTGTCTGGCGAGCGCACGCGCCCTACAGTGAAAATCTCTCCCCCCAAAAAAAAGAAAAAAAAATATTCTGTTAAATATATTTAACAGAATTTTTTTTTTTTTTAAGAGAGAAAGATTTTTGCTACAGGGCATGCATGCTCACCAGAGAAACAAAGAGACAGAGAGCCAGAAAGCAAGAAATCATCAACCAGGGGGCATGGCCACACCACAGTTCCTTCCCCTCCATTCTCCTCTTGGGATCTTGGGCATGTACACAAATGCACATGCACCCAGCATGAGTTTCAAACCTCTGGGTCCAGGACTCAAACCGTGGCTGACAATGTGGAAGTCCAGTGATATAACCATTACACTATCTATTGGTCCCAAACATGCACATATTTTATTTTTAGTAAATATTTAGAGCAAGCCAAATCTCATATTTAAAGTCTCACTGAATTCTGAATGAATGAAAAATCAAGACATGTTCAAACAGGGCCTTTTCTGTCTACTCTTTCACCAATAAATGAATATTCCAATTAATTTAGACTATGGATAATATGATTTGAGCTGAGATACTAGTCTCTTCATGGTCAGTCTTGTAGAATTACCTTCAGATAAGATCTTAGGGAGAGAACCATTAAACTGTGAGACTGATGTGCTTGTTAGGTTATCCATATTGGAACTCCTCTATTTCCTTATAACTAGGTATGTAGTGTTACCTAAGATAAACATGGGTGTTCAATTGACTTATTATTTTTAAGTCTGGAAAATCTAATTCATTCTGAAAATATTTCATACTGCTTTTTAGAGTCTAAAGAAATGTGAAAGGCTTTAGCTTATTTTAAAAGTAAAATAACTTCTTCTCAATGTACATTAAGTAATCTTGAAAGGTTTCTACCCTAGATTTTGCCATTTGAAAGATGTCTTACAGGTTTAGTCTCCAAAGCATATTATTAAATATTTTTATAAGAGAAGTCCAGAATTTTTTTTAAAAAAATTAACAATTAATTTTTCTCTTCTCGTCATAGGCAGTACATGAATCGGAAAGGTGGATTCAACAGACCTTTGGATTTTATTGCCTAAGAATCATTGAAGGGTTGTTGCTTTTTTCTTCATCTTGGCCAGAAAGGATTTTGTGCTTTGTATTTAATATGCACCAAAACAGGAGCTTAGTTCTTCCTCCTTATAAAGTAAGCAAATCTTATTTATGATGTGTGTAGTTCACTCATCTTGCCTCTAAAGAAGAAAAGTTAAATAATACATTTTTTTCTTTTAGGAAGTTCATTGAGGGTAATCATCAGCCCCATTTTCTTTGTCCTTATTCCTGTGGAAGCTGTGTATGTGTTCTTCTTGGATGCTCATTAGGACTTTTTAAAAAACATGAAAGTAATTTGGATGTAAGTTTCTCTAATAAAACAATATTTCTACCATTTTATATTTGATAAATATTTTATTACTAGATAAAAGAATCTCCTTAAATGTTTCATGTTTTATTTTCTCAAACATAGATATCTTGATTCTTAGTTTATTTATTTTTAATTTGCTAGAGGGTGCATGTGTTCACAGGGACAGCGAGAGAGAAATGGGGGCAAAAAATGAGAAAGCACCTCCCGTGGGGAATGTTCACATCCACAATCCCTCCTCCATTTCTCCCTGCTCAGGATTTTGGGCACACACACTCGTGCATACAGCACGTTTTTCAAAGCCACTGCGTTCAAGACAAACTGGGCAGTTTTCCAGATGGGATCCAATCACCTTAACTAGCCTGCTACCCAGTATTCTTAGTAGTTTAAAAACTAGAAGAATGAATAAATGTAACTTTGGATTTTTTCATCTTCTGTATTTTTTCCTCCAAGTAAGCATTTACTGTTTTTCCCCCAATTATGAAAGCAATACTTGTTTCAAAACAAAACAAAACAAAACAAAAGCCCCAATTGGAGGTTGGGTGGTGGCACAGTAGTAAAATGCAATGCTCCCACGATTTGGAGCTGAATAAAGGCTGGGTGGATCTCACTGTCCAGACCCTGAGTGAGGGTGCTATGTTTGTCTTTCTGTTTGTCAGTCCTGTCAGTCTCTCACTTAAAAAATAAGTAAACTTTTTTTAAAAAAGAAATGAAACTTCGGGGAGAAATCAAAAAGTTAAAGAGAAACCCAAAATCACCTGTGAACTACTCCCAGAAATAATCCAACATTAAGATTTTTATCCATGTCTTTCTAGACTCCCATGGGTGTAGAACCCCCCACCCCCACCCCATGAGATCACATCGTGCATCACAGTTCTTGCTCTAACCCTTTTCCCCATTGCTATGAACATTTTGGTTTTGTATTCTTAAATATTCTTTGTCTTTATTCCTGTGGAAGCTGTTAATGTTTTCTTTTTGAATGCTCCTTAGAACTTTTTGAAAAGCATGAAAGTAATTTGTATGTAAGTTTCTCCAATAGCTTTTAGCAGTTACTTGGTTGTACCCTAATCCAGTCCCTTATGGGTGAACGTTGATTTGTCAGCCATGATTTGTTTTCATAATCAAAACTGCCTACCATCTGTCTCCATTACATTCAAGGGGGGTCAGAAAGTTCATGGAAAAGAGTGTATTATGGAAAATATATATGGATTTCAATTTTTTTGAGGGGGGGGTATGGGATGTGTGCTCATGCCAAAGAGAGAGAGAGCAAGTAAATGAGAAATCACCCTCCCAGGGGGAATGGCCACTCCACAATCTCTTCTCCACTTTCTTCTTGAGTTTGGGGATACATGCACACATGTCTAGTGTGATCTTCAAGCTACCTGGTCCAGGACTCAAACTGTTCAGTTGGCTATGTGGGATCTAGCTGTTTAACCTCCATGCCACCTGCTGGTCTCACATTACTCTTTCTTTAAACATTTAAAACATTGAGATAAAATTTACATAGCATGAAATTTACCCTTTTGAAGTTTATAATTAAGTGACTTTTGATATATTCACAGAATTTATGGAGCTGTCATCACTGTGTAATTCCAGAACATTTTCATCCTCCTAAACCCCACAACCATTAATAATCACTCTTCATTCCCCACCCCCCGCCCCTAGAAACTACTAATGTACTTTTTGTCTCCACAGATTTTCCTATTAGGGACATTTCATGTAAATGAAATTATATATGGCCTGGCTTCTTTCACTTACTATGTTTCCTTTTTTTTTTTTAAGAGAGATTTTTGCTGTAGGACTTATGCATGTGCCAGAGAGACAAGAGAGATAGTGAGAAATCACCCCCTGAGGGGACAGTCATGCCACAGTCCCTTCTTCTCCAGTCTTTTCTCAGGATTTCAGGGGCACACCCACACACCTAGCGTGAGTTTCAAGCCACAGGGTCCGAGACTCAAACTGAGGTTGGCCACTTGGGAGTCCAGCAACGTAACCATTAGGCCATCTGCAGGTCCCCACTTACTATGTTTCAAGGTTCATTTGTGTTGTGACATGTATCAGTATATCATTCTTTTTTATTGCTGAATAATTCAGTCTATAGATACAGCACATTTTTGTTTATGATTCATCAGTTCATGGGCATTTGAATTGTTTCTATTTTCTGATGATTGTGAATAATGAAGGGTGCATGAGCATATTTTTTTAGTTCTCTTATGTATATACCTAGGAGTGAAAGTGTAACTCTAACTTTTTTTTTTTTTCCTTTTTAAATGAGAGAGAAGGAGCAAGAGAGAGAAAGGAAGATAGTCAGGTTTGGATTTTTTGTTTGTTTGTTTTGTTTTGTTTTAAATCAGGGTCTCTCTATGCCATGATCTTCCCACCCCAACATCTCAGCTAGGGATGTAAGTGTATGGTGCCATGCCTGGAGTTTGAGGTTGCTCTGGAACCCAAAACTGAGTCTTCCTTGTGGCTCCAGCACTTGCAGTGGCACCCTAGTACTTCACCACTGAGGCTGGGCCTCGGCTTCTTTTTTTGGTCACCATCAGGTACAAACACTATTTTGCCTTTCCACTAGCAATGTGAAAGGGTTCCATTTTCTCGGCATGCTCTCCAAAGCCTGCTCTAGTTTGCCTCACAGCGCTTCTCACTGTCAGACATACTGTATATTCACTTGTTACTGTCTGCTTCTTCCAGGAGATAAGCGAGCCCTGAGAAGTGGGACTGCTATAGCTCCAGCACCACACAGTGTCTGGCCCCAGTGAAACACTCAATAAGTATCTGTTGAATTCACTGATAAAGTTCTGTAACCTTTTTTCACTGAACCACTTCCTCCATTTTCATTTTAACTTATAGTTACCCAAGTAATAGACAGATACATTTTTATTGTAAAAATTTTAAAATACTGTGACAAAACAATCTATCTTGAACAGTACTCACATTGTGCTGCTCGTTTTTCACTGCTAACCCTTATTAATGTACCTTTCCTTGGTGTATCCTTTCTTTGTACATCTTCGTATGTAACAGAAATGAGGACAATAGAGTTTGGTTCTTTTTCAAACAAGGATATCAAGCTGTAGCAATCATATTACCACTTATTCAACACTGCCTAGCCCCTTTCTATGCCAGATAGGTAAATCTACCTTTTAAAAACACTACATAGTGTTGTATAATGTATACACCACAGTTTAGCCATTACTCTATTTTTTAAAATCACAAGTATGTATGGAGTGACTCAGTTTTGCAAAGCAGCATTTTAAAAGCTTTTCAAAACTTATACTAGGGACCAGCAGTTAGCGTAATGGCTATGTCGCTGGAATCCCATGTAATCAACCACAGTTCAAGTCCTGGACCCGGCGGCTTAAACTCACGCCAGGCGCATGTGCGTGCGTGCCCAAGATCCCGAGAGGAGAATGGAGGAGAAGGGATTGCGGCTTGGCCATCCCCCCCGGGGGGTGATTTCTCGCTTTCTGTCTCTCTGTCTCTCTCTTTCTGGTGAGCACACGCGCCCTATAGCAAAAACCTCTCTAAAAAAAAAAAAAACACCTTAATATGCTGATGGATCTCACAGTGATGGAGTGTCCAAAGTAGCCATATAACAAAGGGATTGAGGAGCCAGCAGGTGGCATGGTGGCTAAGGCACTGGACTCCTATATGGCCAACCGTGGTTTGAGTCCCAGACCTGATGGCTTGGTGATCATCCTGGACGTGTATGCCCAAAATCCCAGGAGAATGGAGAAGGAATTGCAGTGTGACTATCCCCCCAGGGGATGATTTCTCACTGTCCTTCTCACTATCTGTCTCTCAGGCAATCACGTGCACTCTATGGCAAAAACCATAAAATAAGTAACTAAATAAGGAAGGAAATTGATATTTTTCCTACTCAATATTGTATTTTTATTTATTAATTTCTCATTTACATTTATAGTACATCTTCGTGAGGTACATATGGCTTTTTTTTTTAAAGATACAGTTTGTATTTTTTTAAGAATTATTTTTATTTAACTTTATTTATTTATTTATTCTAATTTGACCAGAGGGACAGAGAGAAAGCGAACGAGTGAGCGAGAAAGCAAGCTGCCAGGTCTGGGACTGGTCAACCATGTGGGAGTCCAGAGCCTTTAACCACCATGCCACCTGCCAGCCCCAGTACATACGGTTTTTGAAAGCATGCAGTGTGTGCTAATCAAGGATATCATGGTGTTTGTCATCTTCAACAAAGAAATTGATGCCACTGAAGCAGAATCTTCTAGTCCTCATTTTTCATACTTTGAGGAACAAAATTAATTCCTGGAAAACTTATAAAACAAAAGTTTTTTAGTGTCATAGAGGCTAGGAGGTGTCAAAATGGTTATAAATAGGAGGTTTTAATTTATACAGCTCAAGATTATTTTTCTTACTTTTTTGCTGTAGGGCATGTGTGCTTGCCAGAGTGGGGGGAGAGTAAGAAATCACCTTCCAGCGTGGCTGGCCATGCCACAGTACCTTTTCTTCTAGTCTCCTCTCTGGGCATGCACATATACACACACAGTGTGCTTTTTAAGCCACCAGGTCTGGGACTCAAACCGTGCACTTAGCTCTGTGGGATCCAGCACTTTAACTTCCACGCCACCTATTGACCCCAGCTTTAGAATATTTTTTAGACACTTGATTATGACAACAGTTGTCTTACCTGCCACTCCGAGGTACTCACTGAAGTGGCATCTCTCCATCAAAAACCCTGTAGCATGGGATCAGCAGTTAGCATAATGGCTATGTCGCTGGACTCCCATGTAGTTGACCGCGGTTCGAGTCCCAGACCTGGTGGCTTAAACTCATGCTGGGCACATGTGCATGTGTGCCCAAGATCCTGAGAGGAGAATGGAGGAGAAGGGATTGCAAGCATGGCCATCCCCCTGGGAGGTGATTTCTCGCTTTCTGTCTGTCTCTCTCTGTCTTTCTGCTTTCTGGCAAGCGCATGCGCCCTATAGCAAAAACCTCACCAAAAAAAAAAAAAAAAACCTGTAGCATGTAATGAACCTGCTGCTCAGCACTG